TGTATAGCATATTGTGGTATAGTATTGTATAGCATATTGTGGTATAGTACTCCATAACATATTGTGGTATAGTACTGTATAGCATATTGTGGTATAGTATTGTATAGCATATTGTGGTATAGTATTGTATAGCATATTGTGGTATAGTACTCCATAACATATTGTGGTATAGTACTGTATAGCATATTGTGGTATAGTACTGTATAGCATATTGTGGTATAGTACTGCATAGCATATTGCGGTATAGTACTGTATAGCATATTGTGGTATAGTACTGTATAGCATATTAATGGTACAGTGCTGTATAGCATATTATTGGTATATTAGCTATAGCATATTATTGGTATAATTAACATATAATATTGATATAGTATTATATAGCATATTGTGGTATAGTATTGTATAGCATATTGTGGTATAGTATTGTATAGCATATTGTGGTATAGTATTGTATAGCATATTGTGGTATAGTATTGTATAGCATATTGTGGTATAGTATTGTATGGCATATTGTGGTATAGTATTGTATAGCATATTGTGGTATAGTACTGCATAGCATATTGTGGTACAGTACTGTATAGCATATTGTGGTATAGTATTGTATAGCATATTGTGGTATAGTACTGTATAGCATATTGTGGTATAGTATTGTATAGCATATTGTGGTATAGTATTGTATAGCATATTGTGGTATAGTATTGTATAGCATATTGTGGTATAGTATTGTATAGCATATTGTGGTATAGTACTGTATAGCATATTTTGGTATAGTATTGTATAGCATATTGTGGTATAGTACTGTATAGCATATTGTGGTAGAGTACTGTATAGCATATTGTGGTATAGTACTGTATAGCATATTTTGGTATAGTATTGTATAGCATATTGTGGTATAGTATTGTATAGCATATTGTGGTATAGTACTGTATAGCATATTGTGGTATAGTACTGCATAGCATATTGTGGTATAGTACTGTATAGCATATTGTGGTATAGTACTGTATAGCATATTGTGGTATAGTACTGTATAGCATATTGTGGTATAGTATTGTATAGCATATTGTGGTATAGTATTGTATAGCATATTGTGGTATAGTACTCCATAACATATTGTGGTATAGTATTGTATAGCATATTGTAGTATAGTATTGTATAGCATATTGTGGTATAGTATTGTATAGCATATTGTGGTATAGTATTGTATAGCATATTGTGGTATAGTATTGTATAGCATATTGATTATAATAGTACTGCATAGCATATTGTGAATTTTTGATGCTGTATAGCATATTATTGGTATAGTATTGTATAGCATATTGTGGTATAGTACTGTATAGCATATTATTGTATAGCATATTGTGGTATAGTACTGTATAGCATATTGTGGTATAGTATTGTATAGCATATTGTGGTATAGTACTGTATAGCATATTGTGGTATAGTATTGTATAGCATATTGTGGTATAGTACTGTATAGCATATTGTGGTATAGTACTGTATAGCATATTGTGGTATAGTACTGTATAGCATATTGTGGTATAGTACTGTATAGCATATTGAGGTATAGTATTGTATAGCATATTGTGGTATAGTACTGCATAGCATATTGTGGTATAGTACTGCATAGCATATTGTGGTATAGTATTGTATAGCATATTGTGGTATAGTATTGTATAGCATATTGTGGTATAGTGTATAGTATTATATAGCATATTGTGGTATAGTACTGTATAGCATATTGTGGTATAGTATTGTATAGCATATTGTGGTATATTGTATAGCATATTGTGGTATAGTACTGCATAGCATATTGTGGTATAGTACTGTATAGCATATTGTGGTATAGTATTGTATAGCATATTGTGGTATAGTATTGTATAGCATATTGTGGTATAGTACTGTATAGCATATTGTGGTATATTACTGTATAGCATATTGTGGTATAGTATTGTATAGCATATTGTGGTATAGTACTGTATAGCATATTGTGGTATAGTACTGTATAGCATATTGTGGTATAGTACTGTATAGCATATTGTGGTATAGTACTGTATAGCATATTGAGGTATAGTATTGTATAGCATATTCAGTGACAAGGGTGAATTAATTAATTATTTATTTTTATATGCATACCACAAAAGGAAAATATCTAACAGCAATTTAAGTGACTTTCTATATTGAAACACTTCCCAGCATTTTTACCTTTCCTTCAAAATCTTCCTGTAAACAAAACTGCCGATGGGAACCCTGTCATCTCTCACACACTGCTCCTTATACATACGGTACATCTTTTCAACGTTGAGGTCATGAGGAAGATACAGTCTACCGGTGGCGTTGGCTTCGCTGTTGTGATACTCAGTAGGAAATGACCTGATGTGACAACAAGCGTAGTTAATGTCCTCTTCTTGGGTCTTGTTTTTGGGTGAGTGGTGTCCTCGCCGATCCTAACAAATTTAAATAAAAATTGGGGTTTATTAAACACTTTAACAACAAATGCAAACAGTACTACAGTTAGTATGAATCCTCTAAGCAACATAAAAATATAATAATAATAATAACAATAATATTAATAATAATAATAATAATAATAATAATAACAATAATAATAATAATAATAATAATAATAATAATCAGAGCCGTCCTGAGGGGATGGTGAGTCGGGGCGGCCGCCCTGGACCTCGAGCTTCCAGGGGTCTGGCAACACATAAACTAGTAAAAGAAGGCTGTGCTGATTGGAAAAATTTTAGTAATAGACTAATATCTCCTGAGTCATCAAATGAACACTTGTTCAACCTTAACCTAATGAGTGGAAATGAAAAGAAGGTTGTTTCAATGAATACCATAGATACAAGACTTGAATAGAGAAAAGGAACATAGGCGATTGGTTCTAACATGTATTATAGCAGCTTTGCACTAACTATCTGAGCACAACTGTGCTTTTACAAGTCATTGTATTGGAACTTCTCACGATATTAACGAAGCCAAGTTGTTTTCAGAGTTTCAAGTACTGTACTGTATTCCGAGAACTCATTCCCAAAGAATAAAAAAATGCACTTTTAAGTCCTCCAGTTTCTAAAATCTCTCAATGGTTCTTTCCGTAATGCAAAAATAGTTTACAGGATTTTGTTGACAGTCACAGTCGCAGTGGCATCAGAGGAGAGAAGTTTTTCTAAACTCAAATTGATTTAAAGCTTTCTGAGGACAATACTGTATGTTTCAATAGGGATTAAATGGACTGGCTATGCTCTCCATCAAAAAGGAACCGGCAGCAAGTTTGTGTTATCATGAACCGATAGAAAAGTTTGCTGGAAAGTGTGCAAGTAAGGTTAATTTTGAGAGTAGGATGTTTCTGCTACTTTGCAAATGCTTTATGATAGGTTATAGTGGATTAAATTAGTTTTTTAGTTATTAATTGTTACCAGGAAACTTTTCATTACATCCAGACTGTCTTATGACATTTCCCTTGTGTGTTTTAAATCAATATAAAGTACAGTATAAACATCATGGATTTTGCATTAGACATACAAATTTTAGATCTAATGTAATAATTTGGTTTACACAAAGCAAATATTTTATCGTTTGTGAAAAATATATGAAGTTTACATTCAAAATATTCCCTGACCTGCAAGGAATCCAGAAATGTCAATTATATTATCCTAACTTTAGTCTGAGGTATTATTTATTACTAAACGTTAAAATCTAGTGTTTTCACCCAAACATTTCACAGAGAGGTAGGAGCTAGTGAGCTGGGAAGAGGGGGAGGGGGGGGGGATTTGAGTCCATTATTTGAATGGACATTAACCTGGCGACTGTATTTCTCTTAAATATTAATTGTGTGAGCATATCATCATAAAATTTAGATGTTATTTTTACTACAACATAGGTATTGTGTCTTAAAAGTGGAGTTTGGGGGTCAGGCCAGTCTCTATTGGAATTAATCCCATATGTTCTGTTGTTCACTTTACGCGGTTTTCAACTTTCCGTGGTACCCTGTGGGTTCAATTGACCGCGTAAATCGGGGTACTACTGTATACATCGGGGTTTAGTTATTATTTATATGAAAATGTAAATATATTTTATTTTGTATTATATTTTTGTCGAAAATACGAAGAAAATAATGGTGTAAATTGAATTGGGTCCAAAATTAACCAGGGTCTTAAATATGAATCGTCATTAGTTGAACCGTCGTTATTGGAGGCTTTCCTGTACAGTATTGAAGAGTCAGTGGAAAAATTTAAGAAATGGAAGGATGGAATAGAGGTAAATGGCATGAGAGTGAATGTGGCAAAAACAAATGTATTTTTTTGTGGTGGAAACTAGAAAATGGCCTAGTACTGTCTTTAAGAAAGGTGTTAGCAGAAACTCAATAATGTGTAATGAGTATGAAAGACGGGTAAACAAGAGGGACAACAAAGTAGATGGCAGACCCCAGGATGTTGCTGACTAAGTGTTCTGTATGTGCAGGTAACCATGGGCCCACAACAAGACTGGAGAAACTCTGCACTGTAGATATGACCCTGGACAATGTTCATGAGTTCTGTTACCTGAGTGACATGATCAGTACTGGAAGGGGTGCTGAAGCTTACTCAGTTGCAAGAAGAGTCATAAATGGCTGGAGGAAGTTTAGGGAGCTGTTGCTTTTGTTGATGACAAGAGAACCTTCCCTCAAAGTGAAAGGAAGAATGTGTGTGAAGTGTGATGTTATATGGCAGTGAAACATGGGCAGTTAAAGAGGATGACATAAGTACACTTGAACGAGTTGAAATAAGAATGATGAGGTGGTTATGTAATGCGACATTAAAAGATGGGAGGCCCTGTTCAGAGAAAAGACAATAGAGTTAGGATCCTGAGAAGAGAGACTGTAAGAGACTGTGCAGCATGGAGAGCTGCCATCAGGTAACTGCAGCTAACCAACATAAATGTGGAAAATGGCCATAAAACAATGATGATGATGATGGACCCAAGAAGTTGATTTTCCACTAACTTTAAGAGCAAATGGAGACTGGCAGGCCACAGCTTGCAACACACGATCCACCCTGCCATTGGATAACCCATGTAGCTGAAGGAAAGCCATTTTACACACACGAAGAGGCTCTTCATCTGGCTGGAAACAATCAAAATACAAACTTAACATATATCGGTCAAATAATTATGATAATTTTTTTTTATGGATTTCACTAATATGGTACAATATATACAGTATATATGCACACAGTACAGAGTTATAAAGTAACCAAATAAATATACTTGAGCACTGTGCTTAAGTAACATTTTTGGGTATTTACTTTTTAAAAAGTACTCAAATGATTTTAGCACTTTTACAAAGTAAGGTTTTCTAATACCTTTACTCCAATACAATTGAAAAAACAAAAATCATTACTTGTGACATGACCCAAACTAATAATATATTTTTAATTAATTAATTACGGAATTTATCATAGTATAAGACGTCATTATTGTGTGAATAATTATATAATGGTATAGTTATTTATGTCCTGACTGTAGTGCATTACACATCATGTAGTGTTGACCAGGGCAAATTGGACCTACAAAAGACAAAGAGTTTTAATAACTTCCTTATTTATTTAATTCTGCTGAAATTTATATGGCATCATACCTATATAAAGCTCTTAAATACCCAGTTTTTGTGTTAACAGCTATTGTTGCTATTTCTTGAATTATAATGGGAGTTATGTGGTCCGATTCACTTGCAGTTACGGGACGAAAATAGACCAGCAATGGGCCAAATGCCGACCAGTGATAGAATTTCTTTAAAATATTGCTTCCCATTTATTTACACACAATTTTGTTTTAATTTTTTCCCTCAAATCCGTACGATTTTAAGAGCATTACAGCACTGTGTTTATTGTTTATCATTGACTGGCAGCTGGCCACGCTCCCTCCCCGATGTTATGTCACCACACACACAAGTCTCTGAGTCAGCTGCGTCACTGTTTGGCTGAACTGCATCACGTCGCCCAGATGATGGATTGGGCGTGGTAGGAACTATATTTTGTACATAAAATATGTACTATTGTATTTTATGATAAGCTATTAGTCAATTTATTGTTCATCATAGCATTTTTTTTATTAATTTTTGACATGCAATTTGAAATCTGTTCAATTAGGCATGGTCCACATTCGCTCCAGTGACTAAAACTCACCAGGTGGAATGCAGACAGAATTTTTATCCATCATATGTAAAAATAGAAGATTCATTTTTTGCCACTTTTTTGTTTCAATCAAAGGCAAATTTTCTAAGAGTCTGTGTACAAATTTGAGCTTTATATGACAAATAGTTTTCTTTTGAGAGAAACAATTGTCAAAACTGTTGTTTTTTAAAAGTGAAATTTACAGACATTTTGTTTTTGTTATTTTACAGTGCCACTAGCAGGTCGTCTCCTCTTCATTAGAATATCATCAAATTTCCTCCGTAAGCACTCCCGAGGTGGCGGAATACTTCCTTAAAAAAAATAATAATAAAAAAATTAGCTATCTGTTTACTTATTATTAATGAAAACCTACATCTAGTCCTATTTGCCCCAGTGGTTCAATTTGTCCTGGTCAATGTTACTCTAGATTACCTTCAACTGTACATTGTAAATCCTGGTATAAGTCCTTGTAAACTTTTCTATCACTTTTTCTTCATCTTTCTGCATGATGGGGACCAGCGCCACCTTCTGTGCTATATATGTGTTCTGTTTTGAAAAGTCTGCTAACTTCCAGAAACAGTCAAAGATCTTTTTCCTACTCTCTGGTGTTCCCATCTCTGGGATGCATCTATATTTACAGCCACACTCCTTGTCAACATAAAGCTTTTCTTTCTTAAGCTTTCCTGATGCTGTGAAATAAGCTGCACCACTGTTCCTCTTTGCTTTTCTATCCTTTCGTGACATTAATGCACCATTATCTCCTACTTTTTTCTTTTTCCTTATATTTATTTCTGTTGTTACATTTATTGAGTCAGTCACATGTTCTTGGAGTTCAGATGAAACACCATTACACAAGTTTGAATTATTTGTTAAAGGTTTATACTCAATGGTATTTGACACTGTCTGAGTTTTGGAATGAACAAAATCCCTTTTTTTTAATGTCTCATAATTTCTATCATTGTTTTCCTGATGAACTCTTGACTTCTCAATATGCCGATACACCCAGAGGCTGACAGGGGCCCTCCCCTCTTCTTGACATAATCTTTTGTACAATTCATACATTTTCTTCACAGATAATTCTTTTCCTCCAGTCACTTCAGCAGTGATTTGACCCTGAGGCAATCCCTGAAGCTGATTGCCAGAGAAGGCACAGAGTGCCTCATCCCTCACAGGTTTCATTGATAAGATGTGTCGAATCACAAAGTCAACCTCTTCCTCAGATGTCTTGTTACTTGGTGTGTGGTGTCCCCGCCGATCCTGCATTTAGGCACATGAAATAGAATTAATGTTCACAAAACACAAAACTATACAGTACAGTTCAGTACTGTTCTAACATATCTATTGACTGGTGGTCTACAGTTATGTATATCCAAATGAAAGACACAGCAATACAGTAAACCAGTTATTCACGGGGGTGAGGTTCCAAGGAATGGCGTGAATAGGCAAAACCACGAACAGCAACCTATACAACCTCAGTGCACTACTGTATAACGATATCAAACAACCAACCAGCTGCGGCAGCACTCATCCCCTCTTTTAACTTATCTAATAATTCAACTTTCTTTGTCAGGGTCATCACTGACTTATGCCTTTTACATTTCACTCCACTAGCCTCATTAGCACTGACACTAGGCAGTTTTTTAGGGGCCATTTTCACCCAGAAATACTAAAGTTTTGAAAGTACAACACGAGATGCTGCATGGGGTGACTCGTTGTGCTGCGGGAAAAGGCTCACAAGCTAGCCACCATCTGCTTACTGCGAATCGTCAAAATCGCGAATCGCAAACCCGTGAATAGCAAGAGTCTACTGTACATCTTTCTATTTCTGAATCCTCCATGAATGACCTGAGAGAACTACCACCACAAAACCCTCATCTCACGAAACTTGTTTTGCACTTCACACTCTTGGGGTTTTGATACGCAAATTTGCATATGGCCTAAATTAACGCTTTAGGGTTTTCATATGCAAACTTGCATATGAACTAAAAAATTGCAACCAAAAAATTTAATGTTTGCATATGAATGCTAGATATGCAAGATGCACATTTGACATCATCGGTGTGATCTGGCACCTATGTAGACTGCCTTTAACGTTCTGTGAGTGACCACACCAGTTGTCCTTAGTGGTTCAACGACACAGGACGTAACCTTGACCCACATTTCCCATCATTTTCTCGCGACTTGTGCAGATTTATCGTTCATCACAGTCATTTAATTTATTGATAACAGTGTTGTGATAGTTTTGACCCACGCCTCGTGTTGCTGGTGAAGGTGGAGAGAAAGGAAAACGTAATAAGTCGAAGGACATTGTACCACATGGTGATAGTGTGGTGCCTCCTGATGCCTCTCCCTGGCCTTTCTAGTGCAAGTGATAGTTTGTCTGGCCCTTCAACAAGCAGTCCTAGTGTGAAAGGAACTGCCCAGTATGTCGTTGTGGCTAACAGGAAAATAAAAAAAAGTGTTGCACCTGTGGTATCTCGGCCGACACAGCGTGGCTTGCCTTGTGACCACTCATCTCCCTCACATGTTCGCATGACCTGTACTCCCACTACAACTAGATTTACCGTATTTTATGGCATATAAGACACAATTTTTTGTCTGAAAAATTGCTAAAAAAATCAGCCTGCATTGTATATGTGAAGTTGTGGTCTCCCATAAGCTAATGAATCCCCCAGTTGCTGTCTCCAGTAGGCTAAATTCCACCTAACCCAACTCCACAATTAAAAATATGTTATTGCTTACTTAAACATTATTATTATTTTAAATTAATTAAAAAAAAATAATTGTAAATATAAAAGCTAGATTTATAACTACCGATGATAACCCGAGATGAATAACGTCCGTACGGCAGACATGGTAGGTGACACAGGTATGGTAGGTGACACAGAGGAATGGTAGGTGACACAGGGGTATGGTAGGTGACACAGAGGTATGGTAGGTGACACAGGGGTATGGTAGGTGACACAGAGGTATGGTAGGTGACACAGAGGTATGGTAGGTGACACAGAGGTATGGTAGGTGACACAGAGGCATGGAAGATGACACAGAGGTATGGTAGGTGACACAGAGGCATGGAAGGTGACACAGAGGTATGGTAGGTGACACAGAGGCATGGAAGGTGGAGGTATGGTAGGTGACACAGAGGCATGGAAGGTGGTATGGTGGTGACATAGAGGCATGGTAGGTGACCCAGCGGTATGGTAGGTGACACAGAGGCATGGTAGGTGACACAGAGGTATGGTAGGTGACACAGAAGCATGGTGGTATGGTGGGTGACACAGAGGTATGGTAGGTGACACAGAGGTATGGTAGGTGACACAGAGGTATGGTAGGTGACACAGTAGGTGACACAGAGGTAGGTGGTAGGTGACACAGAGGTATGGTAGGTGACACAGAGGTATGGTAAGTGACACACAGGTATGGTAGGTGACACAGAGGCATGGTAGGTGACACAGAGGTATGGTAGGAGACACAGAGGTATGGTAGGTGACACAGAGGTATGGTAGGTGACACATAGGTATGGTAGGTGACACAGAGGTATGGTAGGTGACACAGAGGTATGATAGGTGACACAGAAGCATGGTAGGTGACAGAGAGGTATGGTAGGTGACACAGAAGCATGGTAGGTGACACAGAAGCATGGTAGGTGACAGAGAGGTATGGTAGGTGACACAGGCATGTGTAATGATGGTTTATTTATCAGACCACAGCTTACATCTCAGAAAAAGTCCAGACCTGACCTTACATTAGCGAGGTCAAATGTAAGGGACCCCTCGCATCGGCAAGTCAAGGAGCTACAAATCACTGTTACACGGCCCCACCAACTATGTTAACAGGCATCCAGTCAGCAGAAGAGGCCACGTGCCTCCAATATATACAACAACTTACAACTCAGAAAAAGTCCAGACCTGACCCTACATTAGTGAGGTCAAATGTAAGGGGACCACTCACCGCCACCCAGTCAGCATTAGTGATCACCTACCGGCTCGTCTCCCAATATATAGGACGTCGTAGCCCTCCCTCACCAGAGAGACACACACACACAGAGCGATCACAGGAGGAAGTCCACCACAGCTAGAGGTGCCCCCCGCCTCACCCGCTCACAGGAGGCAGAGTCACGCAAGTCTCCCTCCCGACACCGGTGTCCTAGCTAAGCAGAATCTCCCATAGAGACAACCCAAAATCACCTGCTAGCAGGGCCAGATTCAGGAGTGGGCAAAGTGGGCAGCTGCCCAGGGGCCTCCACAATCTGGGGGCCTCCACATATTACAATACAGTGATCCCTCGGTTAACGAACGCCTCGGTTAATGAACTGCCTTCCATAAGAATCTTCAATTCGGTTAACGAACAAAAATTCGGTTAACGAATTTCTTACGAACCGACCTCAACATGTTTTCGCTTGCACTGGCCGGGCAACCAGCTTTAGTATCAGTCCGCCAATACATTAATCGGTTCTAGGGCTTAAATTCCTTACTATTTTAGTAAATATCAAGAAGTTTATACTATTCAATAATTTTAAAAGTTTAATATTCAATTTTTTAGTCATTTTAACAATTGTTGAACATAATTGAAGGTAAAGTGACTACAGGTTGTACCTCTCTAGTCCGGCAACCTCGGGACCTGACCGGTGCCGGACCATGGAAATTGCCGGACCATGGAAATTCACCCTTTTCCTGGATAGATAGTGACTTGTTCTTATGCCTGGAAGCACTAGAACCACTTTCTCTTCGTCATGGTCTCTTTGAAGACATATTGAAGGGTTAAATGTCGTATAGTAGCTTCTCAAATTTCGCGAGTTTTTAATTCTTAACGTATTTTATTGGAACACAAAAAAATAAATAAATAAAAATTTTGACGGCGGAAACTTGAATTTCGACGGGTTTGAACGGCCCGCCAACGTGCAGACGACGTGCATAATCGTGTGAACAGCGTCATTTCTCTTATGTACAAAAGATTCATTATTGTTTATTACTGAATGTCTTTTTTATTGAATTAATGTTTATGTGTGCAAAATGAGCAATACAATTCATTAATAATACGTAGAATATTAAAACACACGAGGAAATGACACAGCATTGTTTTCGTTGATTACAAAACCAGTGACTGACTGGTTCTACATATAAAACTGAAGAAAATAAGACCTTGGTTGTAGCTGTAGTAAAATTAATATGGTTGTTTTAAGTAATGTTATTTAATGTTAATAAATGGAACAATAGAAGTAGCTAACGATAATGGTAAAGAAAAAGAGAGATCACATATGTAAGTGCGCATGCGCACACGTGAAAACATATCGTCATTACTTTACATAAGAATATGAAAGCAACACTTATTTACTGTTCATATATTTTTTAATTAATGTTTCTGAATTTGTTTTTATTGAATTACTGTACGTGTGTGCAAAATTAACAATACAATTTATTAATAATACGTGGAATATTAGTGGAGACGAGACGGCTGCCGGCACTGTTTATGTTAAAGCTTACGAAACCAGTGACTGATTGGTTCTACATATAAAACTGAAGAAAATAAGACCCTGAGTTTAGCTGTAGCAAAATTAATGTAAAAAAAGAATATGGTTGCTTGAAGTACCTGTAATGTTATTTAATGTTAATAAATGGAACAATATAAGTAGCTAACCATTAATGGTAAAAAAAAAAGTGAGACTGCTCGTATAATAATAATAATAATAATAATTAACGGTTTATTGAAAGAACTTGGCAGCCAGAAGGCTGAAAATATACAGTTACATATTTGGGGAATGGGTTTCGAATTACAAATAATATACAAGTAACATAAGTGATATAAATAAGATATATAATAACTAGATGGGGAAAAGCTCAAACTACAGTGCATTTCAACATAGTGACAGTGCAAGGAGTAGTGTTTACTGGGAGTGAATACACTGGTCTATTACAAGTTATTGATAAATTTTACAATGGTTGGGACTGGGCTGTTCTTATAGCGATCAGTTCGTGCACGTATGGGCTGGATGCGGTTGTGGTGTCGAACAGCAATTCTCGGGCTAGGGATCTCAGGTGGTAGTAGGAGCCGGTGTCGAGGATGGTGTAGAAGCTTCTTACCAAATTTGCAGATGAGGTCGTGGTGATGGTCAGTGAGAGTCGAAAGGGTCAGTGTGTTGAGTGCTTCTTGATATGTGGAGTAGGAAGGGAGAGAATAATCTTGCATGCCCTCTTTTGCACTTTTTCTAGGTGTTTACGTTGTGTGGCATTTAGGGAGGAAGACCAGGTGGGGGAGGCATAGGTGAGCTTGGGAAGTATGAATGTTGTGTAAACACTGAGGAGCTCGGGTGCAGGAACTCCGAGGGACTTGAGTCGGCGGAGGAGGTGGAGACGGAAACTGGAGGATTTGATAACTTCACTGACGTGTGGTTCCCAATTTAGTTTGTTGTCTATGGTGACGCCGAGGAAAATACATGTGAAAATATA